ATTAAAGTGGCAGGTAAAAATTATATTTCTCTAAGACATATTTGATGTGTAAAATCTATGTTCTTGTTAATGAAATATGGAGTTATGATACAAACAAGATATAGTACACACATATATATAACATACACATAAGATGCAAAGAAAAAAAGGTCCTTTGAGCTCGTCCACTCAAAGGGCGAGCATCCTCTTGTTCACGAGGCAACTCGTCCACCCAAGTGGCGAGCGCATGATGGGTGCTGAAAAATGTCTTGCATGCATGAAACATTGTGTAAAACCTAGCTACTAGTCTTGCATGCATTCCATGCAAGTAACCATTTCCAAAGCCATGCAAAACTCAATGTATTGTCACTTCTACTAGTCACATTTACACTTCCAAATATTTATACTTCATCTATAAATTCAGTTTTACCTCAAACTTTTTTCTACACACATTTTTACTTCTAGCACAAAGCATTATAGCAACAACAAACACTCAAGCATTTCTTGAAATATCTTGATACTCAATCAAAATGGTTTTGTTGTGGATGGGCGATGAACACCGTGGAACATAACAAAACATTCAAGCTAGTGTAAGTTTTCCTTGACTATAAGTTTTCCACAACTATCATATCATTTCAGACTAATGCAAGGTTTTGAGTGCATTCTCATGCTCGCATTCAAGCAAGTGCGAGAATAATCCTGTATCTAGAAATAGCAGGTTTTGCTCATATCGCAAAAATAAATAGTCTCAAAATCAACTCCATCTTAGTTGTAGCTCTGTTAGAGAAATGGAGACCAAAAACACACACTTTTCACTTCCCAACACATGAATGCACGATAACGTTAGAAGATGCGAATATGTTACTTGATCTCCGAGTTGATGGAAAAGCTATCAACGGTCCTACCGAAGTCACAAATGATGTTTACATGGAGAGCTTAGGGGTGGAACCTACAGAAGCGGATAAAAACAGAGGTTCTGTTAGGATTACGTGGTTAGAAAATTTATATGAAGTTTTAAAAGATAACTTTGCCCCCGCACAAGAACATATTATTTTAAAAGCTAAAGTTTATATTTTACTTGTAATTTCTACTATTTTATTTCTCGATAAGAGTCAAAATCTTTTTCATTCTTCCTGGATTCCTTTTGTAGGGGATCTAGAAAAATGCGGCACCTATAGTTGGGGTTCTGCATGACTTGCAAAATTGTACAGGGAAATATGCAAGGCAGCAGTCAAAGATGTTATGAGCATGAGTGGTTGTGTTCTTCTACTCACTTCTTGGGCATTCACGCGTATACCATTGTTTGCTCCTGTTAGTACAGTGCAACCGTCATATCCATACGCACAAAGATATTACTAGATTAAAACACGTATTTATATATATATATATATATATATATATATATATATATATATATATATATATATATATATATATATATATATATATATATATATATATATATATATATATATATATATATATATATATATATATATATATATATATATATATATATATATATATATATATATATATATATATATATTTGTTATTCAACTATGCCTAACAATATTTATATTTTTTGTTTATGCAAGATGGGCCCAAAGACGGATGAATTACGATGCTAATCCTCATTTCCATCTACAAGTATATCGGAACACATTGGACCACATGCAAGAAAAAGATGTAAGTTTGAAACCATAGAATATAGTTGTCGGTTATACTCCTTAATGGTATTATAATTTTTTTTTAATATATGGCAGTTTATATGGAGTTCGTACATTCAATACCTGGTTCCCAATCTTAGAGATAGCCAAATCTGGAGTGCTACAACTTCTCTTATTTGTTTCTATACCGTTGAAATGCATCAAACAGATAGGGTAAAACTCCAGTTTGGATTTGAACAACAAATCCCTTTCCCGCCAAGGTGTCTAAAGAAACACCACGCAATGACAATGAGAAAAGCCCAAAAAGTTCATTGGCGAGACTTAAACAAAGAGGAGGTGAGAGAATGGAAACATAGAAGACATTTGATTTTGCAGGGGGGCGTTGTAGTTGGTGAACGCAAGTCAAGCCAAGAGTATTTAACTTGGTTTCGTGTCATTCCCTATGTGCATTGCTCTAGACCAATTTTTGATCGACCCACGCATGCAAGGTTCGTCATCAACACAACCAACTGCTGCATCAATGCATCAGAATGTGCCACAAAACTACACATCTCAATTTGGAGGGCACGCATCTTCATCAGCTCAGCATACATACCAACGGACACAGACAATCGAACAACACATATATTATGCATCCTCATCCCAACAACAAACTCCGTACAATCCATTCCCTCAACAAAACTATAACTACAACTACAACCAACAATATCAACCTCAATCCAACCTTCAACCACCCTTACAGTTCACTCCAGTTCCACCGCCCAACTTTGATCATTCAAACCCTCAATTCCAATATCAAACCTTCAACGCTTCATTCTCTCAACCCACCTCCACCTTCACGCCTGATGATGTCTTCTACCCAACCCTCCAACAAACCCAACTCGAAACCTACCCCCAACCATCGCAACCATCACAATCATTCCAAAACATTTTGCTGACGGATGATCAACTGATGCAAATGCCAGATTTTAACATTGATGATCTTCTTGTTGAGCAACCATCAACACAAGCAGAACCCCCTTCAAGGCAGGCAGACTCCCCTACAACACATCACGATGAAGATATGTCTTCTGACTCATCTCAATCACCTACAACGCATGCAAATGAACGTGTGTGCAGGGGATATCGACAGAAAAGGGCCACTATGTGTGGAACTGGGGGCCATTTTTTATCAAATTTATATGTAACATGTATTTTTATTTAATATATTTTATTGTTGTATTTAATTAATACAACAATTTTTTATTATTATTATGATATATTTTTAATTGATATTATATTATTATATTAATACAACATAAAATATTTTATTATTATAATATATTTTTAATTAGTATTTAATTATTAGATTAATAAAGTATTAAATATTTTATTATTATAATATATTTTTAATTAATATTTTATTATTAAATTAGTATAATATATTTTATAATATAATTTTTATATTAAAATTATTAAATATGTGATTAATTATATAACATAAATATGAAAAGAAAAAAAAAACAAGTTCTTCATTTGCTCGCCACTTGAGTGGGCGGACGCTTATACGGTATAAAAATCAGACTCAACTCGCCACTTGAATGGACGAGCAAGTGAAGAAAATAAGACGCCTTCGTAAAAAAATTTCAACTAAGATAATTTGATATTTAATATTCCATACTAAGGCACTACTGTAAAAATAAAAAAATAAAAAAATAAAAAAAATAAAAAAAACCTCCTCGGTGTATACATCCTTGTAATGAGTGCGTTGGCCCCAACTCCAAACACGTTGACTGACCGGTTATATTTCCAACAAGAGAAGAGAACCACCAAGAGTCAACAAAAGGCTGAATTGAACTACCTTTTTTTTTTCTGACACTTCGAGCAGGAATTAATGGCTCTAAAGTCAATTTGGAATTAGTTCAAGTTCAGTTCAGTCCAAACAAAGTAGACAACAAAAATATGAATAGTTAGATTCACTATGTAACGTACAATTTATGTCTAAATGAGCACGATATATCTGTTCCATCACTTTCATGAAAGTGTTCGTGATCTGAAGCATCAAGGTTCAGCAGTATGCACAAACTGAAACCTGGAGACGAAAATTTTCTCAACCAAAACAAGGCATGAGGAAGTGACAAAAGATTATCAAGACTAAAAAAATTCCTCAACCACTATATATCATGAATCATAAATAAATCTAACTAGTCATCGTGATGTGTGTGCATGTACTATGTATGGGCAAAGTGTTTTAGTGTAATTTTCTACTATATTCAATATTTACTTCACCATTTTCTTTAAATAATTTTAAAAGTACAAGAGAAAATTACACTCACCAAAGAGATTGGTTAAAATGACAGTGAAACTCCCTCTAGTTTGAAAATATGCACTAACCTCTCTTATACTTATGTATATTAATAGAAGTTTCTAATACAAGATAAAAAATTGTAAATAAATGTCATATATATCTATTGTCACTAAAATGTATATATATATATATATACTGTCACTAAAATCTAGAAAGGGATATCATTGTCAAATCTAGAAAGGAATATCATTGTCATTTTAATAGATATCAGAGGAGATTAATACAGATTTTAAAACTTAAGAGGGAATCAAGGTTTCATTTTAATAGACTTGTAATTTACCAAAAACATAAATAATTAAAAAAAAAAAGAAAACTAAAAATATTAAAACATTGTTCTAAAAACGTGTTCTTATCATTATCACAATTATTTACTCCAAGGAGGTTTTTGGTGTTTTTTTCAAATTATACCACCAAACCAACCGGTTAGTTGATCTAATGGTGATTTCTGTTGAACTTGGTAGAAAAGACTACGGTTAGATCTCTCACAACTGCAATTAAAAGGAAGGTTTGAATCACTTGATATCAGAACTAACTCTCACACCGAACTAGTCGGTCCAATAAACCGGATATTGGTGGTAGAAAAATTCAAATCATACAAATAAAACTAGGTATCTATTAGATTGGGTATCAAATTTGTCACATTCAAAACATTACCCGGAATCAAATTAGCGAATGTTTCACTTGTCATGGGTTACATATCACTATCTTAATCACATTGAACACCCCAGTCTATATCACAAAGAAAACATGAATTGAACTACAAGAAATTAAAATAATAATAATAAATTACACATCCAGTAAATCTATCACAAGATAGATGAAAAGAGTATAACCACAAGCTGCAGAAGATTTTACCAAACATCTCAATACCAAATACATAATCTATTGACCTTTGGTATAGAATGTTCAGCCGCGTTTGTTGCTAAAATTGCTACATATGACATGGAGCAGAGACAAGGGTGCATTACAAGGACATACAATTTCGATCTCAGATATTCTTATCCCTACTCATCCAGCCCATAGTCCTCCCCAAAATACTTGTCAACTAGACTGTTTGCCATAGTTCTCAAGTCCTCATTTTCGTGAAACTGAAATCTTTCCATGGCTTCAATCCCATCTTCTTGTTCTACAAGCTTTGGGCCCTTTCCATTTGGCATCCCTCTCAGGACCTACGTAAACAACAAATCATAAACAAGCCAGGGTTTAGATCTCAGAGGACATGATTACACAAACAAATGAACTGATATAGCCATAATCTATGAAGAAATTATTTATACAACCATCAAAATCTCTTACGAGTTCTATGAATTGAAGCCCTAGCCTAGCAGCTTCAATGTCAGCAGATCTAACCAAATCAATAAAACCTGGTAAACATCCTTTTTCAACAAGTGAAACCAGATGCCCCGGGATCAGATTTGGCTTCTTGTCACCTTTAGTTGGGGCAACACAAAGGTTTCCTAATACGTAAGCAACTTCCTTTCTTATATCAAACGGTGCAGCGGAAAGAAGATGCAATAGCAAAGACATTGCCTCGCTAGAATATATCAACTGCTTGTGCTCAACAGAACCAGCAGCTATATTAGACAGCACCCAAGCTGCTTCCTGCACAGGATAAGAAAAATCTCACGTCAAGCTTAACCCAAATTTTTATTGAATCAGATATCAAATTCTGTACCTTTTATTTTTTCAATTCTATACCTTCTTTAAGACCCTGTGTTCACTTTTCAGACATTTTATCAAGACTTGTATGGCAGTATCTGAAATTGTCATTATATAATCAGATAATCAGATGAAAGAAATTGATCCATACTGTTTGATTAAAATGCATGTATTTAGCTAAGCAAGTGTTGAAAAAATCACTAGCCTGTAACTTCAAGTCCAGGAACAAGAACGGCATAACTTGCATGGGAATCACCGGCAATTAGATTACCTAAGCTTCGCAAAACCTATAAGGATTTCCCATTGTTGTTCGAAACAACAGATCAATGCAAATAACATAAGCATTGTGATTTATGTGCATTGATATATGCTAATCACAAGAAAATGTTAAGATGTAGAAAATTACATCTTTACAACAAATCAATCAAAAGCTTTCGAGATCATTACCGGTATTATTAATTGCAAACTGTTTGATGTTGCTAATCTATTTAAAAGCAATTGAAGCACGTCACTCTTCACCAGCATGCTCGTAGCTAAATTTGAAAGAGACGATAGGTAAACAACTACCCATGCTACTTCAGTTGCTGATTCATCATCCCTGAGGTGACAACAAAATTAATATGACAATTATTAGGGTAGTCTTTCAGGGATACTGTGTCTAGTGGTAACAGCTGGATATTTCGGTAATGCTTGCAAGAAATAAGATGTCCATGTAGTCATTATAGCAAAGTGAACTTTATGATTATGGCTGTTACAGTTACAGCCACAAAAGTTTCATGCTTCATCCAAAATAAGTTAAGAGTTTAATCTTTGATTAAAAATTTAGTGAGGTCCCATCATGTCGCATTAGGATGGTGTCATTTCCACCCAAACACTGAATGGAAGCACTTCCTTTTAGAGCCTTAATAGCTCTTTGTATCTTATTTTCGGGTATTCCATTGGCCTCAAAATACCACTCTTCATTGACTAGCAGATGATAAGCCTTCTCTCCAAACTTTGGAATCATCTTCAAGATGCAATATCCACAATCCAAAACATTAAGCTCTAATATAGCTGATAGATTCTGGTTTAAATATTAGAAAGAAAAAATTAAAACATGATTTTATTGATGAAACTTCCCTTAACCCTAGATCAGTGATGAGCCATAGTTGGGAAGATAAACACCAGCTATTGATATTCCTCTTCGAGAGCCTCAGACCTCTCCTACCAAAACATATCCCAACTATCCAGAGTCCTAAACTTCTCCCCCTCATTTAATAGCCTAGTTCTGCCAACTTCTGTTAGAACTCCAACAAAATACCACGAACTACTCTAACTTCCTTGACTAACAAAATCCAACCTGATTGGACTTACCTGACGATTTATTCAAATACACTTTATAAATTTACATGTTTGTAAATTTCATTTTTTTGATAATTGCATTGTGCTTTTCCTAACAAACAACGGAACATAATAATTTAAATACATGAAATAAATTAACTGTAGTGCCATTTCAACAATAAAATTAAGAGTAAAAGGTGGGACCCATATGCAGACATGCACAATAAACCAACATAAAAATATTAAGCGTGAATGTTAGAAGGTAACTCACGCTTTCGTCAAGTGTCGAACAATTGAATCCAATACTCCATCAACACGAATGAGCTCGTTAGCAGCTTTAGGATTTGGACCCTATATGCAAACATTCTGAAATCATATAAAAACACGTGCATATGGAATAGTCCATCTTTCACAAAAACCGTAATGCACATGTGACCACAAAAGATGACTACATAACACATCTAAAAAAATGTGGGTGACATACAGTTGAAGCAAAGAGGAAATGAAATACAGTCACATAGAGTGAGAAAAATCATTAAATAATTGATGCAAAATCAACCACTCAAACAAATGGTATGAAATATTCATTGGATTTAAAACCTTGATTAGATTAGACAAAGCCCAGGCAGCGGTTCTAACAGTTGAACGCCTGTTTGGTAGCATCATTCTAGCAAGAGGTATTAAAGCCCCTTGAATTAGAAGAACATTCCTCAACTCTTCATCTTCACCAGCCACATTTCCTAGTGCCCAAGCACACTGTTCAGCAACAGGTGAGGAGCTCTTTTCTGCAGAACAAGACTATTCGTGAATTTTAAAGGTAAATCATTAAATAGTTTCAACCTACAAGAACTTTGCTATAACACTGGATAGAGTTGCAAAATTAATGAAGGTGAACAATTTATAAAAATAAAAATAAAAAATAAAAAAGAATGAGATGCCAGTGGTCTAAAAGTTCTCTCCATCTAATTCTTTCCTTAGGTAATAGATAACTTGCAATGCTTTAACAATTAAGGCTAGAAAAAATCCTCTAAATCTTCATATAAAAGTATCAGTCACAAAAATTATTTAATTTCTTGACATGCAAAAGGAATCTCAAAGTGATCCACTCACCCCCGAGGTGAGCAATAAGCAAAGGCAATGCAGGCAGCAAAGCTTTTGTTTCTTCTGGATTCCCTGCAGCAATGTTTGTGAGACACCAAGCAGCTTCAAGCAACTGCAGGAGATATTCACAACAACGAAAATGAAAATCGTAAGAAATTTGTTTGCCATTAATGGTTCTATATTCTCTGCAAACATGCACAGATATGCGTTTAGACCTGTTCATCTGGTGAACCAAATGAAAGACACTGCACTAGTATGGCAACGGCTCCAGCTTTAACAGCAGACTCAACAGGAGGAAATTCAGATCTTGACAGTAAACGCCTTAATTCTTGAAGAGCGCTTACTCTTTTCTGCACTGCACCCTTCCCCCTATCAATTAAAAATTATATAGTGACACTATGCCAGAGTAAAAGAATATGCAAACTTGCATTTGATACAAGTCTGAAGAAAATATGGCCAACACATTACCAAAGAATAAGAGAAAAAATTAGTCAAACATGACCAAAAAAGAAAACAACATAACGTAGGTGTACAACATCAATCTTAGTGCCTCATCAGAAGATCCTGCATTTGAAAGCATATGAAATTATCACATGGCTAAAAACTTTCCCCTTTAAATCAGAAGATTCAGAATACGTCGTGACTTATTTTTCCTGAGACCAACAAACTATCTGCTAATCATATGTAAAATATGGTTGTAAAATCAAAATTGATAAGAACAGCATAACTTCTATTAAACAACTCTTCACAGGATTGAACAACTTTGCCTCCATCTTACCAATAGTCTTCAAATCTTCGTACATCACATACAAAAAATGTTGTTACTGGAAATCTGTTTACCCGCAAACAACTAGTCTAGTGTTGCCCTAAGTCCAGATTGCAGTAGCGTGTGACATACTAGACGCTTCTATTGTACTGACCTTAACCACCAGCAAGTTAAACAGGCAAAATATGGTGATCCAAGATAGGGTATGATTAGTTCAAATCATGAGAGATATTATTTAGGTACTTCAATACATGAACAAATGACATGGAAAGCAACAGCAAGTAAATTCAAAAAGGGTATTGGAGTTTAACTTCTAGGGTTTTGTGAAAGTGAGAGAATCTCGGAGAAGAGTAAAACAATATGCCAATGATTTTATTAGAATGGGCAAACTAATTCAGATGAACAGTGCACCAGTATTTATATTATAGTGACACGAGTAGCTTGCTTAACACACTAACAGCTAACTGAACTTATTAGAACTGTTCAACTCAAGAGTTAGTTAAACCTACTAACTAACTGACTTGAATACATGAGAACTTGGATTGGCCTCTAGCCTATGGGATCTTCACCTAGGAAAAAAAAATCCTTATAAGCTCATAGATGTTTATAGAAAAGTTAATGAAAAAAACTATAGAAACAAATGAGATGCATAATAAGCTTGTTTCAACTTATACAAGAAACTGTGACTTTAACACATAGGAATTGTTTGAATTGACTTGTTTGAGCTTATGTGTACTGACATAAGCACTTGCGAGGCTGCTCAGGAAAGCTTATGACACGTCCATAAGCTATTTTCAGCTTATTTCAATAAGCTCTCCAAGATAGCTTATGAAAACAACTTGTATCTTATATGTAAACAATTTGGCTTTATTTTATCTATTGTTAAAAAATATAGGTTATAGGTTAGTTGTTTATCCAAACAGGGACATCGAAAATATTAATGCAAACACAATAATGATATTGGGGGGGGGGGGGGATTTTGGAGGTTTATTTTTCATCGTAATACAAAATCTCTCTAATTTGGAGAGCTCAAAATTTTTATACAAGGAGGGTTTTGAAGGGCTTTGATAAATTCTCCAAATTCAATCATGTTGTTATCATACTCTAAATATTAAAAACACAATAATGATAAACATTGATCATCATTCTATACAACAACACTCTCCAAAATGTTGAAAGATTTATCTATTTTTCCTTTTACTCCTCTCCTCCCAAAGCCCTCTCCTCTAAACTCCGAAAGAGAATTATCTATTTTTCCTTTTACTCTTCTCCTCCCAAAGCCCTCTCTTCTAAACTCCCCAACAGAAACCTATGAGTTTCTAGATAAATTTAGATAAAATTATTCAAACAAGCTCTGTCACCACCAATTCTAAGAGACAGGGAAACTAACTTGCAAGCTCTATAGCACCCACACGTCCGAAAAAATGCTTGTTTGTGTCAGTGTGTACTTCATAGCTTGCAAGTCATAATTCAAAAATTCATTGTTATACTTCAAAGAGAAAGAAGAAAAAAACTCCGAAAAAAAAAAATATATATATATATATATATATATATATATATATAAAGGTTAAAAATCAATTCTTAAAACTTGGAACATGATAACTTACTGAAAAGCAAGTGCAGATTTCAAATTTTCAACTGCCAATAAAGTTTGAGACTCCAAAATAGACTGTTCTTCATCAATCATCATCTCACCCTCACCCTCAACATCAACTTCACCCTCACTAACTCCAACCCTACAAAGCCGTTTCGCTCGCACCAACGATTCCCTCCTTTCTTTCCCAACTGTAACTGCATGTTGCCGTCTTCTACTACCCGCGACACTCCCAACTGAAACCAAAACACGCGATTGAATCCGAATCATAACCCTAAAACCATCTTCTTTCGAATTGAATATATGTAAGAAACTAATTACTAGGAAATGAATGTAGCTATAGTGTTGAATAGAAGCGTACCTGATGATTTAATAGGATCTCTTTTGTTGGTAGAGAAGACAGAATCGGCCATTGAAGATGAAGTGAAGAAACCGCACTGGGAAGAGAAGTTGAGAGAAATCTAAGTGTTCGGAGCGGCTGAAAAAAGTTTCAGCGGTGGTTCTACTTTTTATAACGGTACAGAAAAATGGGATCGACGGCGGTAATAAGCTCAAAATTACGTTTAGACATTTCTCAATTATAGGAAACTAGATTAATCCGGTCACAAAATAAACAAAAGGAAAAACTAGATTAGGGATATTAAAAAAAAAAGTAGCTTAGTGTCAAAAAAAAAAAAAAAAAAAAAGGGAAAAATTAGAATTTAAAAAAAAAAAATAGAATTCTCAACTTAAAACAGCTCATATGAGGCGTGTTCTTGACCTCTAGAGAAGATGTAACGGAAAAAGTTGTTGTTTTTCTTGTTATTGGTTACTTAAGAGTGATATAGTGAAGCAATGTCACATATTTGTCTTTGTAGGGGTGTTTGTTATAAGTTTAAGTGGATATAAAACGTACTTACATGTCATTCATTTGCTAGTAGATGGGACTATGCAACCAGAGTGTATGATGATGATGCTGGTAGATGGGATTGTGCAACCAATCGTGATAGGTCGAACTACGACTGCTCTGATTTTCTCTTCCTCTTCCGAATGAGGATACATAGGCACAAAACGGTGATGTCTTGGCGAGCACAATCCTCTCATTCGCCCATAGTCCTCCGAACTACGTTGACTCTGACTTCCCCATTGCACGAGGGAATACGTAGGCCTAGGACAGCGAAGTCCTACCGAGTCTCCTTTGGTTTTTTCTCCATGTAGTTTCTGTTAGCAAGTAGGTTTTAGATATACACACCCTTTGATTAGAACAACAAGAGTGGATCTCCTTGAGTATAACGGACGCGGGGGGTGTTAATATCTTCCTCTCGCGTAATCGACTCCTGAATCCAAGATTTGGTTGCGAGACCACATCTTATCCCTTTTGAGGTTTTTTCTATCGTTTTCTTTCCCCCGCCGGGATAAATAACGTTCGGTGGCGACTCTGCTTTTCCGCCGGTTGTTTTTCGCGTTGCGATACTCTGCTACATGTATTTCTTTTAATTTAGTTTATTTGTTTTTATTTATTAAATTGTTTATAAATAATATTAATTTTGTAATGGTGCTGGATTCATGAGTATCTTCCAACTATTGTAAAAAGATGAGAGAATTGGAAACTGATAATTGTGGACTTCCTTGAGCTATGAGATGGTCGTTTAAGCAAGGAATCGTGATGGTGGATGAGTTGATATTGCCTCTTTGAAGATTGAGATGTTTGATCAACATACTCGTGATATGAAGGATCCCTATAAACATCATAACCCACTGGTTTCTTCCCTTTCTTCTTCACTTCTCCTTTGGTTTTTAATTTCACATGTGGCGGACACATTGAAGTCGTTATGGGGTAAGGAAGTTCACCAATCCTACTTCTTAATGCACTTTTCCCAACAAAAATTAGTGACATAAACCTTTTCCATGATTCATCTATTACTTTACTCATATATAATACATCATTAACATATACCTCCAACTCAACTTTCATGCTTAGTTTCCTCTAATGAACATGAATAATATCTATTTGTATCGGTATAACACCAAGTGTGTATCTCCCTAACTCACAAGAACAAGGTAACTCATAAGATCTTCTAAGAGCACAACCACATATTTTTCCTGTTGGTTCCCATATAATCAACTTCCAATAACTCTTCTGCAATGCGTCTCAAAACAGTTCGAGATACTGATCCACGCAGATTACCATAAAATGAACTTGTGTGTATGCTCAACTTCATAAAAGCTTTTATGAAAAGAAGTTCTAATGTTACTCAATTGTAACTTCAAGTTGTTATTCATAGCCTCCCAACAATTGATCGTGTCACCTATATTGTTTCCTAACATTTTCTTTAACTTCTAATAAGCATACACAACCCTAAAATAAACAAAAATTAAAGTCAAACCAACACATAAAAAAATTCAAAGTTAAAATACTAATAAACAATACATATTATTTGTGGTGTTACCCAAATGTAGCACTTGATTAATCCATGCTCCAACAAATGTATGTATGTGACAAGTCAACTATGTTTCTTTCACATAATCAATAAATTCACTAAATATACACATACCTGCTCAAGTTGTTACAACTAGGGCTGGCAATGAACCAAACCAACTCGAAGATAGTTCGGAATTCGACTCGATAATTAAATCGTTGAACTAGGTTCATGAACCAAATGAGTTGAGTATGAGCGAAAAATTAAGTTCGTTAACTAAATGAGCTGAACTTGAACTATACATAGTTCGACTCGTTAGGTTCATGAGTCAACTCGATTACATATGAAAAGAATTATACTATCTTTAAGATTAAGTTTAAATATTTACTTCAAATCTTAGACAAATTTAATCTTCAATTTAGTAGTTTTTGAATTAGACTCTCAAATGTATCTCTTGAAAGTTGTGTAGGTTTTGAATTAGTAGATTTCGAAGATAAAGTTAAATATCAATATGATAACTTTTATTTTATTTTAATATTTTATTTAAAAAATATATATTTATTTAAAATGTCAAATATACTAAAAAATATATATATTTCAAAAAATAGTTTTTAAGTTCGTGAACCATGTGAGCTGAACCTAATGAGATGAACCTAACGAGTCGAACTGAACTGTTCGTGAACTTATAACGAGTCGAGTTTGAGCTTAAAAAAAAGTTCGTGTCGAACTCGAACTCGGATTCGAACAATTCTTAACGAGTCGAGCCGAGCTGAGGTGAGTTCGACTCGACTCGACTCATTTCCAGCCCTAGTTACAACTGTTGATCATACTCAACCTCATCACTAGTCCATACAACTTTCATTCATAATGTGTCTATCGCCTTTTGCATGTCATTCACCACATATTGTTTGCATCTTGAACCAACATTTTTATTGATGTGAAATCGACATAACAAATTAATCGTCCTTGGAAACACAATTTCAATTGCTTTCATCAAAATAAGATCTCTATCAATCAAAATTGCTTATGGATACAAATCTTTATTCACAAACAATTGTTTCAGCTTATCCAACACCCAACAAAAGTTCAATGTCTGCTCATATTTCATATAAGCAAATGCAACACCAAATCTCAACTCGGTTGATGTCATGCCAACAAAATTTAAACAGAGGTTGTCTATATTTGTTTATCTTATAGGTGCTAACTATAACTAACACAATAGAAAAAATATTCAACAACTTACCTGAATTTAGATGGGCCCAAAAAATATCTCTCACAACTTCTGAGTCATCTCTTTTTCTAACTCTAGTAAACATAACATGTGTCCTCTATAAGCTTAAACAAATGTTGTATCTCACTTCTAAAACCTCTTATCTCTTTTTGTAACTTACTCTTATGTTTATATATTTGTGTGATCCGAGTGACAATCTTCGGATCTCGCTATTGCAAGAAAAGCAATATGTGTCTAGGTGGAACATGTTTCTTTGTCAAATCAATAATATGTTGCTTCTCATTTGTACCCAGCCTACCAACAAAGAAATGATATTGTAACCTATCAGATAAATCATGGTTATGAAGTCCACATTTTACACCAACCTTCCATCTAGACCCATCTTTCGTCGGAGTCAACCTGATTTTGAATGGACATCTATGTTCCTTAGTCACACTTTGTGTTCCACTATCTGTATTCTTGTATTTCCACCTTTATCATAGTTAAATATTACATTGTTGTTTTCCTATCTCTTGCTCGTTTCGGTATCTGAACGAGTGATTATAACATTTACTTTATTTTTAATTCCAATCTCTTTAATCCATCTTATCACCTCTTATCATGTAGCGAATCTTTGTGTAGTTGAGAATGCATCAGATGTATCTTCACATATTTAGTTTTTATTGCATATTTGTAGAGGAATTTCCATACATGCAACATAAAAAAAGATTAATTTTAAAATAAAATAAAAAGATACTTCCAAACAACTTCCAATTAAGTCTTCCTGTACCCAAAAAATTGAACACCGAATACCTTGACAGGAAGAATTCCTGTACACATTGTCTCCAAACCAGAATTCATTTGTCAAGTGTTCTGATACTTTAAACATTAAAAATAACACCGAAACACATTTTTCAAGTTATCCAAAATAAAGAAAAAAAATATACACCAGATAACTTATTACAAGTTATCTGATACAAAAAATATGTATTGGATTTCATTTTAGAGGTTATCTAGTACGCATACGCAGTATACAATTTTTTGGAAATCTAAAAATAATAGTAAATAGTAAAATGGAAAATTAGTTAAAAACATTCAAGGACAAAGTTGACATTTTTTACATGATATATGGGTATGAAAGTTGAAGGTGAGAAAACTACACAAGAAAGGGGGGGGGGGAGGGGGGTTGAATATTGTGTTTAAAAATGTTTCATTTCTAAACTCAAAAGTTCAGAGTCTGAACCATGTTCAGAGTTTGTTAATATAATGTATAGCAGCGGAAAACAAAGTTCAGAAGTAAATGTAATTAACACATAAAAGTTATCATGGTTCCTCTCCCAAACTGAGAGTAGTCTAGTCTCCTTGCCTCAACAAGAGCTTTTCACTATAACCAAACTGATTATAAATGTTTAAGCCACTGCTCAAGACTTCCTGCTCAATCAACTCTGAGTGAGACTTCCTTGCTTAAGCCACCGCTAAAGACTTCCTGCTTAAACCCTCTGGTTCAAAACTTCTTGCTTAAACCCTTTAGTTTAAGACTTCCTTACTCAATAAATCATGAATGAAAGTTCCTGCTTAAACCCTTTGATTCAATACTTTCTTGCTCAGGCACGCAGACGAGAGATTTCTTCTACTTTAAACAAACTGTTTAGCAGATAAGATAACTATTATATTTTGATACACAATCAGAAGTATAACAGTTGTACAACAGTCACAAAGGTTTATAACCTTTCTAAGATTTCTAAGATAAATCTAAGATGAGAAATCTTAAGATCTTATGCTATAACAGTTACAATAACAACTCAAAGTTCTGCTAAGATCTTTCTATATGTTATGATGTAGTAACCTTCCTTTGAGTCTTAAGCTTCCTTTTATAGAGATAGAAAAAAATTGTAGGAGGTTTGAACAACAACAAACTTAGTGAAAAAGTATGCCAAAAGAGACGTTGGAGACTTGCATCTGGTTAGAAGCTTTGTCCATTGAATAATAGCATTGGCCATAGCACCTTTCGAGTAACTAGGTATCTACAAAAAGGTAATACAGATCTAAAAGGTCACATCGCCTTCCTTGAGCCTTGAAAAACCAAACCCTAGTTGACTCTATCTAGAAATATGGGGCTCTGATAAGACGAGCCTAATTTTGTGCAGTGTATGGATCAACTGCTCTCCATATCTTCAGAAACTGAGTTGTAATGAAAAGATCAGCCAGGATCTAAGTAAAGCTTCTTCGCTTATGCTTTCAACAGGATTAATGATGAATTCTTTATTTTACGATCCTACACACTTGAACATATGTTAGCAAATCCTATTGTTCTTTCAATACTTTATTATCATCAAAACCTTTTAATGGCATGAACAAATCTTATTCCAATAATTTTCCCTTTTTTAATGATGACAAAGAAATATATTTAAGAACAATGGTTGGTGATTTGATTAACATAGTCTAAAATTAGAGTCTGAGATTTGTAAGCTCCTCTTAAATTAGACAGTCCTTTAAGGTGAGGTTTGTAAGCTCCTCCTAGGTCTAATAGTCCATTAAGATGAGGTTTGTAAGTTCAACTTAACTCTTTATCTATGTTAATTGAACCTTATAATTTAATTAACAGATTCTAACATCAGGTTGAGGTTTGTAAGCTCCCCTTGAGTTTGGCAGATCTTAGGTTGAGGTTTGTAAGCTCTTCCTTTAGTCAGATAGTTCTTAAGTTGAGGTTTGTAAGCTCTCTTTAAGTCTTATCTAAGTTAATTAAATTTCTCATTTAAAAATAATATGTTCAGATGAAAGCATTTACCTGAAATATTTAATAATTTATCGTACTGGTAAATAAAAAGCATTAAAAAATAATTTAAACCTTCTTAAATATTTTAATTTTCTTCCCCTTCTGTCATCAACAAAAAGATGATAAATGCATATATCGATGACATACATGCATACAAACACAATTTACAAGGTAGTAAAAAATAGAGTTTGACAACATAGATTCCAAGAAATGGTAAATTCATAGGCATAAGACTCAAAGAACACAATCTTCAAGATATACGAGATCTTATTCAAACTCTATAAAAGCAGATGTTGAACGCAATAGCAAAACATACAACTTAAGAAGAATCACAAGAATGGGCAAAAAAAGCAGAACATACAAAGCAGAGAATAAGGATGTTGCAAAAGAAATCCCTTACTCACCGAGAAAGAATGTTTGAGAGGAGAGAAAGAAACAATAGAAGGAGGCTGAAGATCTTGCAAAATCTCAAAAAACCACGGATGAAGGTACGTCTGGCGAAGTTGCTGAGAAAAACAAGTTTCCAGTCAATGATGAAGATGAAGAGTGGGATGAAGATTACAGGAAGT